AGAAGGGGTTGGAATTTCATAGAGGCGAGGAACGAATAATCAAAGATCTGTAGAATGCCTCAAATCGGCGGGCCGTAGTTTATAGATCTGAAGACCTAAACATGAATATTTATTTTATTTATAGTTTAAAGGGAAAAGAAAGTGTAAGCTCTTGAATACATTTCTGCGAAAATAATAAGTCCAGGTCTGTTCGGCGAAGATCAGACAGAAACAGTATTTATTCATTTATAACCTACGGAGCTGTTAGGCAATACGGATGTCTGCAGTAGTAAGATGTCAGCATAACATCTCACTACTGCAGGTTATAGTCTGTGGGCCAGACCCCTCCCCACCGTCCAACCTCTCCCCTCCCCCCACCCTTCCCCACATCTCTATAGATTACATATCGTTGTGTTCCTTGTAACTATTTATTAAAAATAAGTCAATGTTCCCACAAAAAAAAGTGAACTAACTACCCCAAAATGGCGTCCAAACATGGCGGGCTGAAAACTTTGATTTTAGTTAGTTTTTTAGTCACTGAGAATCAGCATTTGGTATAATTTCGTCATAGCTCGATAGTCAGAGAATAATAAAACATGAAAACATATATAGAAATAATTGGCTTAGGCAATAAAAACACCAGTAAGGTCAATTTTTGTAACTAAAACATTTTCAAGTTGAAAATCAAGCGTCGTTTGTAATTAAAAGGCCAACAATAACGCAAAACTTGCTGAAATAAAACGTCTGGATAATATATTTATGTTTCTAAAACACTGATTACATTTTAAAATATTTAAAGCAGTTCCTTATAAAATGCTCCTAAAAAGCGGTACTGGCGTAGGTGCCTACTGGCCTCTACCACACCATTCAGTACTCATAAATGGCTTAGTTACAGTGCTATAATAACGTTTTTGGTACATTATATTGATTGTGTTAGGAACAAATATTAATGCAGTTTAATGTAATAGATTAAACTTACTATTGTTTTTTTTAAATTTAACTTTCTTTATTCTATAAGGAGGTCGTTTAAGAAGGGCTCTATTGTAAAAATGATATAATTATAATAATAAAACTCAATTCAAAAATACATTGCTATCTTGAATTTTTTATTTAACGTTTGCAATTTAACACTTTGTTTTGTATATTTATTGATTCTTAGAGGTAATTTAAATTATATATACTTCCCCGGAAATGAGTCATATTAATACCTGTTTTATAAACTAAAATAATATATATATATAATCTGAACTACATAAAATGAATAGTTGATGGGTTGTTGGATGAGTGACCGTCCACCAAGGAAAGCCAAGCTGCCCGAGATTCATCCCCCCCTCCGGGTATGTGAGACCCGTCAGGCTACTGGAGACAACTCGCGGTCAAAGATCTTCATGGTCTGTAGCGCCAACCGAAAAAAAAAAGAAGAAAAATATGTATATATATATATATATATATATATATATATATATATTATAATTGGCCGAGGTATTACCATCTTAATAACTCCAAAAATAAATCTTCCTGTCAAAAAGGAATAATCAGATAGTTGGCAGTCCATGTGGAACGAGAGCCCATCAAACAAATTAAAAGTTATTAAAAAATCATTAAGGCCCTGGAACACACCAAAAAGTCCTAATTGCAGAGAGGATGTCGCCTTAACTAGTTTAAGAATAGGTCCCACAAATTTTACCCTTATTACACCTCGAGTTTAAATAGTTCATCTCTGAGACCAGTCAGACAGTAATATTAAACAATAATCAATCAAACATAAAACATTAATAAATTTTCTTTAAACCCATAGGCTATTAAATAAAAGATAGAAATTTATATATTTTTTCTTTACTAAAGAATTTCTGAACTCCAGAGAACAAAAACAAACAACTTACAGGTGTTGGTGACTCATGGGTCTTACACCTTAAAGCCCAAGCAAACAAACATATTATCATTAAGTACTTTATAAACATAAAGTATATGCCTTTCATACGTAAATATTTAACATCCTAGCTTGCACAGCCAGGGGTACCTATCCCCTCCAAGATCAATGAACTCACTCTTTCTCCCAAGAAATTTTATTGTTCTTCTCTTGTTAAAAACAGTCCAAGCAAAAGTAGAATTAGAAAAATTGTATATTGTATATAATGACACTTATTATGAAATGAATAGCTGCGTAAGATTTGTTATTGGTGCCCCGAGGTACTCCCATGTCTCTCACCACTACACTGAGTTAAGGTGGCTCTACCCCTCCTTCCGAAGACAATACTTTCTAGGTACGTTCCTCTACCAAATCATCAACAACCATCGTCCTTCTTACGCCTACAACCTTCTCCAGTTCAAAACCTCAGTCCATTCCCTGTCCACAAGATCTCGACCTTCTGACCTTTACATGCCTTCTCACAGATCTGCCTCATTCCAAAATTCCTTTATTGTTCGCTCTGTCAATTTCTGGAATTCCCTCCCTATCAAAATTCGACATTCCCCCTCCATATCCACATTCAAATCCCTCCTATTCCAATTCCTATCACAAAAACAGTCAGATACTTGCTAACCATTCGAGTGGATTTTAATAGAGAATTTGATATATTTTTATTTTTTAATTCTTTATTTTTTTCGGAAAAGTGTATACTGGTCTAAATAGCTTTAAGTTTCTTGTAATAGTATTAATGGTTTTGTATATAGTTTAGTTTGTTTTGTATATAGAGTTTTTACCTTATATTTTTTTTACATTATTTCTTTTTTTCGATTTATTTTGTTTTGGCCAGATGTAATATTTTAATTTTGTTCTAATTTGTTATTCTCAAGGGACTGTGTCCCAGAATAAAGTTATTTTTCTATTTATATTTCTATTTCTATTATGTTCTGGTTCATATCTTCCTCCTTGTACTGTGGTTTGAAACTTTTCTATCTGAAAATTTATAACTCTGTCGAAATCTGCTATCCTCAAAAATTTTGATGATGTAACTTGCACCATGAAACTCTCTTCTCAGGGAACTACAAATAATGAAAATAACCAAAGTGCTTTTCACATACAATTGCGAAATTTAGATGAATATTTATAACTGCTGTAACTTTAAAACCATTGAAGAATATCAAAAATTAGCAAAAATCTATATACTTTTGAAAAAATAAAATTGCCTACAACTTTCGTCAAGTTAATTTTCCTGAAATTTTGGATTTAAGATGCTAAATATCTCAAGAACTATAATAAATCCAAAATTATGAACAGAAACATTCTTAAAGAAAATTTTATCATCTTTAATTTGATTAATATATTTAATTTTTATATTTTTCTTTGTTGGAAAGGTAGGGGCGTAGTATTTAGTATTTATACCTCAAAAGCACTCTTAACAAATTCTCAAAGTCAAATGCTTCCTCCCTCTCCACTGGCTGAATCACTCCACAAAACATAAAAATAAGTTTTTCCTTCATTAGTCCATATTTTTTCTGTTAGTTATATTAAATAAGTACTTGAACAACCATGAAATATCCTGTTTTTTTAATTATAAACTTTCTCAAAGTATATTGTTCCTGTAACTAAGTTTTTTTAACAGGCCTCATGAAATACTTAAACATCACTTATATAGTTTTTTTCTTTTTCTTTCATAGTAATTACCAGTATAAAAAAAAAATATTGTCTAAAAATGAATCATCTACATATTTTAAATATAACTTTCGATGTAAAATTAAACATAAATGAATAATAAGAAAACATATTTAATAATAAGGTAAAAATCACGAATTTTGTCAAATATCAAACGTGTAAATGTCAAAACAAACTATTATAAAGCTAATAGTAGATCAACAAATAAAAATGCAGGAATAATGTATAAAATAAATTGCTTGCAAACATTTATTTTTTTATTTTTAATAAGTTTGAAAATCTGATACAACAATTTAAATGTACTTATAAAATAGAGTTTACTTAACCAAAACTGAAAAACAGATTTTAAATCTTTCAAGAAAAGTGTTAAATTATAAATCAAAATTTGCCAATTTCAAGCTATGATGCACATTAACTCCTTATTTTTCAATAATTGTTGTCATATGAGTATCAAAAACTTTCCAAATAGGTAAGTATGATCTACCAATTAGTTGTGAACCAAGAATGGATCAAACTATCAACTTTAGACAATCTAAAGAATATTGTTTTTGACTTATTTTCTTAATACTTGTCTTGAAATATTTATTTATTTATTTCTAGCAATGGGGACTTCTCAAGCACTTAGAAAATATTTATTACACAATTCAACAATAAACTTGAACGTACTAAAGATTAAACGTTAAAATTTTTATAAAGGAAAAATACAAAAAAAAATTTAATTTTGTTAAATAGTTGTGTTTTTAAAATAAATTACATCTAGGTCTGCCATGAATATAGGAACATGAACCATTATTTTATCAACACTAGGTCGATCCTGAGGCATCTTACCATGTTCCTGCAACGTTTTCTTGCTTAGGTCTAAGTAACTTCAAAGTTACAATACTAATAAACATCAATAAGAAATCATAAATGTTCAATTCAGTTATACTTTTTTTACCAAGTAATTATGATTTAATTGATTTTTAAAATATATCTACATCATCAATAATTTATAAAATCAAATCTAATAATGCAATTTAATAAAATACATAATATGTAATCTATAATACATAATAAAACAAATAACAATTTTGATACTATAGAGAAAAGACAGTCTTAAAATATATTAAAGACAAAAGTTTATAAAATATATTTTCATATTTTAGGAATTTTAATTATTCTCGATACGTGAATAAACAAGAAAATACAGTTGGGGTACTTCAATTTTAAAGTCTGTACCCTCCTGAATCACTTAAATATTCCTGAACAGGTTGTTCACAGAATTGTAAATATAAAAATAGTTAAAATAAAAAAAGTTTCTTTTTAACACTGTTTACAATGATTAGTTTGGATAATTTAAAATTCCCATTATATGTATATATATATATATATATATATATATATATATATATATATATATATATATATATATATATATATATATGTACTAAGAAATTAGAATTATTCTTTATTCTGGAAGTTTAGGCAAAAGTGATGGGCCTTCATTATCGTTTAAATTCATTATCTCCAACCTGCCAACAAATAAAACATGAATAAATCTATTGTAATACAATTATAACATTATCTTTTCACTATATGGAACTATTGCCCAAACATAAAGTGATAAATTTTAACGTCTTACTACCATTTTTGGTACATCTCCAATATGCCTGAAATGCTTGGAAACAAGACAAATAGCCACCTCAGAGTCTTAACTTTAATCTTACAGAACATTTGTGGCTATTGATTGATAGGTATAAGTTATGCAGAGAGTTTTAATTGAAAGTTATTAGAGTGAGTAATAAATAATCAGTCAATAACTTTTAATTATGTATAGAACTGAGAGTTCATTAAATAATTTGTCAAAATTCACACACCCTGACTATAACTTACATGTTTAGTTCATGATGTTAAAGTAGAGGATTCTTTTCAACCTTAAGTTAGTGAATACTGTGAATATTTAGGGAGGATCTATTATGGTTAGATAAAGGAAGAAACCTATAAATGGTCATCTGAGAATGGAAAAATGAGCCAATAGGCCTAACTAATCTTCTTTACTAATACCTGCTACTGATATCAATATTCCGTTTTCTTATTTTTTCACAATTTATTTGATAGATATATTTATCTAATGTGATCCCGATTTCATTGGAATGAAATTTAGTTAATTTTTCTGACTTAATATTGAATTAATTGTCTTATAAAGCAATGAGAAAATGAAAAACTAAATGATCGTGTCATAAAAAATGAGCCAATACATCATTATAATAGACTAAGCTAATAAACTAATATGGGGTCAATAAATACTTTGAACGTACTTGTATTTAAAACTAATTAGAATTTTTTTAAAAGAATATAACATTTTTAAATATAGATTTGAATTTTAACCCTGAAACAAAACATAAAGCTTATATATCATGAATTAAAAAAAAGAAAAAAATCAGAAATTGTTTTATAATTTATTGTTGAAACTATCAAGATACTTAAGTAAGTCAGTTTATGACAGCAGCTGAATTATAAACTTAATGATAATTTTTGTCTTGATGAATTTAAATAACACAAAAAAAAAAAAAAATATATATATATATATATATATATATATATATATAATGTATAAAATCTAGGTATATGTATCAGAAAATTCAAAAAGAACTATAGACGGCAAAATGGATATAAAATGAATTTTTAAATTTTATGCTGAGGTAACCTATGAAATTAAAAATTAAGAACATTTAAGGAACCAATTTTAGTAACCAGTAAAAATAATAATTCCTAACAAAACTAAACGATTGTTACAAAATAGACATAACATCGAAGGAGTTGCACTAAATTTATCAATCCAGGTCAACAGTTCCGGGCTTAGGGTGGAGCAATCAGGGCGGTTGCCCCAGGGGGTGACCTAATGGGGCACCCGTTAAGGGTACCGGCCAATCTTCAGGGGTACTCTCCACTTGTTAGAAATTTAAAAAAATACAAAATATATTAAAATAATTAAAATATATAATATAAAACAGCTTAAAAAATAAACTTAAGTCTTTTTGGGAGGTGAATGATGTCATTGCCTGGGGACGCCGCATTCCTAATGTCGGCATTGCAGGTGAATTTGAAAACAAAATAGTTATGGAACAAAAAGCTCAAACAAAAATCACAGATTTCTAGTCTAAGTAATTTGCAATTTTTAAATTTCATGTTTTATATTTGCTTTATAACCTTTGCTTAAGTATTATTTAAGGAAGTACTGTTTCTTTGTCAACAGTTTTTCAAGAGTTGATTAGGCCAAGTTCAAGCTCAATCCCAAGATTTTCATCCCTTAATTAATTATTAAATTAAGAGTACCCACTGCATATAGATGGGTATGTCCCAGGAGGGTTTTCTGCCCCCAGAGTCAATTCATTACTTATGTAAGAGAATAAACAATTACCTGTCTCAGCCATAGTCGAACTAGAGACCTGGGCCATAGGAGCACAGTGCCTTACTCACCAAGCTATTCTACTCCCCACATGAAAGTCTTAGTAATTTTAATATAGTAATAAATTGTAAAACATTTTCAACACTTCCTTTTATTTATGTTTAAATTTGATGTTACGCTCTAACAGTACAAGTCACTCCTAATAATTTTTTTAATTACAAAATTAACAGAGTTTTTTTGCAAAAAATGACAAGATAATTTTTATGTATGCAATTAAGATATAGGGTATACCCCTGGGACACACCTAGCTTCTACATTGTGGGTTCTCATAATTAATTAAGGGGAAAACAAGTGGTTGAGTATGGTGTTGATAAAATCATCTTCTTGCACATCTGTTGACCAAAAAACAGTACTTCCTTTCAATGTACTGAACCCAATATATCTTCATGAGTTATGTAACCTGGATTATTCCTGAAGATAAAAAAATAACCCGAAGCATTAATTATGTGGAAGAATAATTTTAAATCAAAATAAAAGGAAATATTGATAATTAATTCTTAATTATAAGTTAATTTAATGATATTTATAATTTAGAATATGCACATAATAATAAAATGATGATAATGTTTCACAATGTATTATTAAATTACATAAATACTTTATTGGTTAAACTGTATTATGTTTGAAAAGTTCACCTTTAAAAATCTTACTAATTTTTGATGTTTGATTATGTGTAGCTATTATGTCTGTGTACTTCCTTGCTACCTTTCTATACCAGTTAATCAGAACTCAGCAACCCTCATATATTTTTCACATTCTACAATTTAAATACTCCACCCAATCCCATCCCACTAGATCCTATACTTCCAACCTCTATCCTCCTCCTTACCAAACTGCTGCATTTGACAAATCCTTTGTAATCCAAGCTGCCTCCCATTGGAATTCTATCTCTCCTGATATTAGACATGTACAATCAGTTTCCTCTTTCAACACTTACTACTTTCCGAATCAGACTGATCATGAAATATACGTAAGAGAACTCTTTAAGTACCCCTAGAGACTATTCCTGTTTACTTACGTTATTCTAGTTTCCAATGTTTTTTTTATATATTATAACATCTCTCTTATATTTTACAAATAATAATAATATAACCTCAGAAGCTCTCTTTTTACTGTTGGAATATTTCCTAAATAATAAGAGGTTATTAAATAATAAAGACAATTATAAGAGTATTAATATATTTATTTATCTCAGGTGTGGGTTACTGACAATCAGATCAAAACACTCAGATCTGTCAGACACATTTGAATCAGATCAAAATTAACAATACCAAACACTGTTTGATTTTAAAATAAAGTCAAATATGAATTGGCAAGCTAACCTTTTTTCTATACATACTATTTCGTCCTTTGTTGCACTAAATTTATTTGTCTTCAAATGCTTTCCAATGTTCTGCCAAACACAACTTCCAAAATAGTGACACTTTCTTCTACTCAACTCAAGCTGCCTGGAAGATCCTCTCTCTTGTGTTTCCAAACAATTAGTTTCTACCAAACGACTTTCAAGGTGGTAATATTATTACTGGGTTTTTCCCACTGGAGCTAGGATCACTTCTCCTATCCTCTCCTATTCCATCCCCTCCTTGGGATTTTCCCTTTTGGGAAAACTACAGAACAGTTATTTTCTTTTCCCTGAACTAGTAAAACTAGATTAGCATGCTTTTTAACTGTTACATTAATTTATTAAACCATTTTTACCCATTTCCAATAAAGGTGTATATTACAATATAAGTATGCTTTTTATTTTCTGTCTTTCTCTTTCTATCTATATTTTTATTTTTAATTAACTATTATTTTGTCAATACTTAATTTATATATGGCTGCACTGACATTTACCCTGTACTTATAAGTTATTCTAAAGGGACAACAGTCCCAGAATAATCAAAAATATTTTCATTTCATATATTTTCAATATTTTCATTACAGTAAGAAGTTATACAAATTAATCATTTAAAAGGAAATGTATGTTTATTAGTGATTCAAGAGAGAGGATCTCCCAGGCAGCTTTAATTTAGTAGAAGAAAGTGTCACTATTTTGGAAGTTGTGTTTGGTAGAACATTGGAAAGCATTTGAAAACAAATAAATTTAGTGCAACAAAGGACGAAATAGTATCTATAGAAATAAGGTTAGCTTGCCAATTCATATTTGACTTTATTTTAAAATCAAACAGTGTTTAGTATAGTTAATTTTAATTTGTCTCAGTACCCCAGTGTTTTGATCTGATTTTCACTAACCCACACCTGAGATAAATAAATATATTAATACTCTAATCATTTTCTTTATTATTTAATAACCTCTTATTTATTTAGGAAGTATTCCAATGGTAAGAAGTGAGCTTCCGAGGTTATATTATTATTATTTGTAAAATATTAAGCATTTATAAGTATAATCTTAATTTCAATAATATGGATTTCAAATTTTGAGGCTTCTGCATAAATAATATCTACTTACCTAACAGAACATTTTTTAACTTTCTTAGAAGGCACTACTTCAGAGTTGAACATATTTTCAATGATTTCACCACAAGCTCCTCCTATCCATAGAAATAATGAAAGTAAAAAAGTCTTATTAAATACTACAGATAAGCCACCTAACTTCCAAATGAAAGTAGTAAAAAACATATTTCTAAAATAATTAGTTTAGGTATTAATTATTTAATTGATTTTAACATATTATAAATTATATACATGAATTCAAATTAAAACTTGAATACTGAGCTATATTAACAACGTTTAATTTTAAAAAGTTTAACTTTAAATTAAATTATAATAAACTGAAAAATTAACAATGATAGAAGTAAACATACTTTTAGTTAAATTCTGCCCACTCTGTTGATAGTGGTTAGACATCTCAGATTTCTAAAACAAATGATTAATCAGAGGTGTATCTAATGAAAATAAGTATATGTAGTTTGTAAATTAAACTTTATATATGAAAGATAATAAATACAAATATTTAATCATACTACTTTATAAGCCTACAATAGATGAGATTTTTAGTTATAAAAATGATTATTACCAAGATTTTTTAAAAACTAGATAGCTAGGTAAGATAATGAATAGAAATTACATTTTAATAAATAAAAATTGGAAAAAAAACAGAAAAGAACAATGTATTCAGTCATTGATATTTCATCTCCCTTGAACTAATTTTAAGATATTACTATGATAAATAAAAATATCAGAATGATATATTTAAAGACATTTCATCAAGTGAACTACATAAAAATACTTTTCTAGGAGCAAAATTAATATTAAAAAGTAATAGTAATTAAATTTTCTCTCTCTCTCTCTCTCTCTCTCTATATATATATATATATATATATATATATATATATATATATATATATCCTCTGAGATATTTAATATTTATGTTTATAAAAACAAACTAGAGAGAGAAGATTATATAATCTTTACAGATAGGAGATACATGAGGAAACAGCATTTAAAATGTAGGAAGAAAGGACGCATATCACTAGTGGATCCAGAAGAGGGCGCCACACCCCCCCCTCCCTCTGGAAGTTGTAAAAAAAATTCCAAAAAGCAGCTATTTAAAGAAAAGAGAAATATAGGGAAAATTTATCCTATAGACGAATTTCCTAATATAATATATAAAAAAAAAAATTATTGATAATAGATGCCCTTGGATAGTGGAAAAATATTTCTGAAAAAAAGTTCCAAAAATCAGCAATTTAAAGAAAAGAGATATATAGAAAAAAAATCATCCTCTAAGACAAACTATCTAACGTGATATAAAAAATACTATTATCATTACCAGTACTAGCGGATCCAACCAGGCGCTATCCTCTGGATAGTGGAAAAATAATTTAAAAAAAAAAATTAACTTTAGTTATTCTTTCGAACAACCTTTTATTCGGGCACAAAATATACTTTTTTTCTTCTGGAACCAATGGGGGTGGGGGAAGCACCCGATACAGAGGTGCGCCCCCCTGAGAAAATTCCTGGATCCGCCACTGATGCATAATCAACTAGGGGGAAATTGGAATTCTAGAAGGAGATGATACAATTTATAAATTATTTGTCAAATACAGTAATTTTATAAACAAATCTTGAGGAGGCTATCAAACAATTCAAAAATTGCAAAGACCTAGGGGTATAAACATAATATGAAGGGTTCACTCTTCTGGGCACAATAGATTGCAGTCAAGTAGTTCTTGTGACAAATGAAGACAAAACCAAATATAGATATGCAGGGTTTTAAGGTGCAGCCATTCATATTCATTAATCTTAATCTTAAGGTACAGAGGTACCCCACACCTGAGAAAATTCCGCCACTGACACATATTCAACTAGGGGAAAATTAGAATTCCAGAAGGATATGTCAAGTATAATAATTTTATAATCATTTAAAATCCACGGAATAAACAAATGTAATGGATAAAAAACATTTAGCTTACATTTATTATCAAGTTCATAATTCTTGTGGGAATCTGACTATTATCACATTTAGTCTGACTAATATTAATAATAATAATCTGATTATTATAACATTTAGGAGCTCATGGAAAATATATTTCTACTTAATATTAATTATATATTGATGATAATGATTACCTTTATTTCCTGGTTGGAACAAGTAGCAGGCATATCAGTGAGGATTCCATCTTTATTGATATACTAGAAACAAATTAATTATAAGTGAGGAACGCTATACTATTAAAAAGATATAAATTTAATAAATTAATTTATGAACTTTGAAATACATTCATACATTATTTATATCAATATAAATATCAAAAAAAGTAATAAACTTTCAGAATACAACTATACTTTAAATCAGAGTATACACAGTATGATGGCCTTCCAATCATTTCCAGTTTCAGAGTCCTTCATTTAGGGGATAAAAAATAAGCCCATGGAGTCTTGAAAGTCATAGACTTTCATTAATTTTCACTCTCTGTTCATAATTATATTACTAATGTTTATAATAATATATACCTAATATTTATTATAATATATCTAAAAAATATTAACTTAATCTGTCGAAAAATTGTTTCAAAAATTTGTATTTATGGAATAATTTTTAATTAAATTCTATACCAAAGAGTAATTAATTCTGTATTTAATTCCTATGGGGATGCATGATTTCAACAATTAAAAAATAAAATAATTTCGTATAATAAAATAAAATAAACTAATTATAATTGAAAATTAATAAAGTTAATTAAAGCTTCTTTAAGTTAGTATTTCTTTTTTTATTAACTACTAACATTTGTGATTCCTTTATATACAAACCAAATAAATTAACTAAATTATTTTTAAAATGATTTCTCTCATTTCCTTACATAAGATGTTGAACATGATGAAATTATATTTGATATAACACTATTCAATGGAGCCAATAACAAACACCTTTAAACTTTTGAAAATATTTGGTTTGCAAATAGAGCTCAAATAACAGGTGTTAGTTTGTATATGATTAAATTATTACTCTGAATTCTAACAACAAATTATGCTTGACTTTTTTTTTAATTAAACAATTAATTAAGGGGAAAACTGGCATTTGAGCATGATCTCGGCCCAATCAACTCCCTGCACAACCGTTGGCCTTGTAACAGTACTTACTCATACTGTACTGAACCCAAGACCCTTCATGGGTTGTTACTGGTACAGTTTTAACATTTAACAAAGGTTAGACTAAGTTGTAAATTTTTAACCTAAAATGGAGTGTAACAAAAACATATGTTAATATTAAACTTGTATGATGATTTGATTTCTAATGGAAATAAATCATCATTCATTAACTTGTTGTACAGCTTTTTAAAGAATGTAATTTATTTAAACTTCTTTTTCTTCTTCTTATTATTATTATATTAAGTGAATCTTTTTTGGCAAATCCTCTGATCCCCTTGCTGTGTTGTAGATTGAAAAGTTGTTCACTGTTTCATTCTATCACACATATTCCTCATTAAGCATGGTCTGTTTTAGATCAAATTTCTTTGGTGTAGTATGTTGGTAAACCATGAGTCATATTATTGTTCTGACAAGAAACATGATATGACCAAGAAGTATTCACTGACAAGTTATTTTTTAATTAAAATAAGGTACTTTAAAAAACACTGATTGTAAAAAAATATGTATATATATATATATATATATATATATATATATATATATATTGTTAATGAAATAACACAATTAACATGACTTAAAATTTTAAATCTAGTCATACATAGATTAAACTGATTAATTACTTTAGTAGGTTGAAAAATTAATGATTTGTCAAATGGATATAAATATTCCAAAAGACGACCTTTAACAATTATCCATTTAAGATTTATTTCAGCTGACTCAAACATCAAATGGTGTTTAAATATTCTGAAAAAAAAATATATAAAAAGATAAGTCAAATTCAAAATTCAGATAAGGAATGAAATATTTGTAGCACACATATTTGAAAATAAATGCTATGAAGTGCTTTTAGCTCATCTTGTGAGAAATAAATTTTACTAATTATGAACAATAAAGTTATTACTGCCAGAAGCTGATAAACACAGAATTGGTTCGAAGTAACAATTCAAAGCTATTATTCTATAATTATGCACTTATTATATAAGTAAATATGTTCTAGAAACTAAGCCTACCTGTTTAACCATTCATTAGCTTTATCTAAATCTTTAAAACCACGAAAAATATTTCTACGTATAGGATCTTGAACTAGTAATTTGTCTTCAGTAAACGTTTTTACAAGCAAGAATCCAATTCCTTCAGTTAAGCATAGCAATCCATATTGAAATAATGTTTTATAATTTTCCTTTACTATATCACTTTGCTGAAAATTAAAAATTAGGAATGAGAAGATGTACATATGTGTTTTGAATTTAGTGTTTGGTTTTTTTTTACCTAGAAACTATACAAAGAAAACAAATAAAGATATATATCTGGGGCTAGGGATGGCCGAGCAGGCTAATGTGAATGCAATATGTAATCTAAGTCAAGCAATGTTGAGCGTGTACTTGGATCTAAATTGTCTATAGCACCAACCAAAAAAAAAAAAAAAAAACTGAATAGATTAAAATTGAAAATACACTTTACTCTCATTATTCCAAAGTAAGATAAGTTTATTCTTAAGTTCTTTAAGATTAAAAACATGGGTAAAAATAGATTGGAAGGTCAAAAACAACATAACCAAAATTCAATTAGTATATACATTCTTCTAAGTTAACATATATAAGCAACAAAACAAAATCAACTCTAGAATAAATATAGCTGAAATGTAATGAACAAAAAAAGTGAAGGAAAAACATATATATAAGTAATGATTTTGTATACACATATAATATATATATATATATATATATATATATATATATATATATATATATATATATATATTCAACTTAAGAAAAATATTTCTGTAAAAAAAAGTTCCAAAAAACAGCTGTTTGAAGAAAAGAGAAATATAGGAAAAATTCATCATCTAAGACAATTTATCTAATGTGATATAGAAACAATTATTATCGAGACCAGTAATATCGGATCCGGGCGGGGGGCGTCCCCCCCTCTCCCCTGATTGATGGGGAAAAGTTCCAAAAAGCAGCTATTTAAAGAAAAGAGAAATATAGGAAAAATTAATCCTCATGGACGAATTTTTTAATATAATTTAAAAACAAATTATAATCGTTACCAGAAATATAGTAATAGCACTAGTAATTTCTGCCTGGAGGCCTGGCGCGCCTTCCTCTGGATATATATAAATACAGTTGAATACATATAAATGATGGAGGAAAATTAATTTAAAAAAAAAATGAACTTTATTTATTCTTTCGAACAACCTTTTAATCGAGCCCAAGAAAATACCGGTTTTCCCCCGGGTCCATTTTTTATTCAGTTCCAATAGATCTGGACGCATTGCTACCTCCAACAACTGTAGTCTCCTTGAAGAATCCATGCGATTCATAAAATTGGTCACGATAATAATTTGTATATTTCTCATTAGAAAGTGTTTTTCTTTTCTTAAAATAGCTACTGTTGGGAACTTGTTCAATAAGGAAGGTACAAATTATTTGGTCTCCGATATGATCGGAATCGGAATTTATTTCTTAGAGAACTCATTTCCAAGCAGCAGGGCCATTTATAGTAATTTGGCTCAGATTTTGACAAAGTTGGTAAAAATTAGCATTAGTTGACAGTGGTTATCGACATAACACTTAATCAAATTATTAGGTTTAGGTACTTGTTCAACGCACCATTTAACGTTCTTTAATTTCTTAAAGAACACGTTTTTCGCATTAATGCACTGTTTATTAGTAATAGATAAAAAAAAAATTGGATAAATCTGTTTTTTTGCCTGTAAAAAGTTTTCCCTTGGTGACCCATGTTATCAATTTTGTTTTTCACATGCTTAAACCCATATACAGGGTGTCCTCTAAGTAGAGGGAAATGTTTAAAGGAATTACAGCAGAACTGAAGAGCTATAAAAAAGTTTATATAAACAATGGTTCGATTTTCAGCAGGAAAGTTGGAAATTAAAGTTTCGTGATTTTTTAAGTAAGACACGTTTTTTGTTGAATAGGAAGTGATAACTAAAAAACTATTTAATTTAAGTAATCAACGATTGCTTCACTGTAAACTAAACAAAATTTACTTCAAATAAAAATAGAGTTTGCTATTGTTAAAACCATTTAAAGAGAATATTTGAGCGTCTAAACACAGCTAAGGAGTGGGCAGAGATGAGTAGTGGTGGGAGAACGGCTAGAGGTGGGAGAAGCACCTGGTACAGTGGTGCGCCCTGGGTAAATACATGACACTATAAGAGTGGAAAGATCTTGATAATTATTAAAAAATGGTATGATAAGCTACACAATCATAGGTCTTTGTAGCTGATGGGTAACTTTAGTCTGCTGATCCTCAGTATTTTAGAGTCAAAGAAGCAGTTTTTTTTTTTTTTTTTATACCGGAAGGGATGAAGAAATCAGAAGGGTAGCAGATTAAATAGTGAAAGTTATTTATAAATTTGATTTAAAGCAGTTGTAAAAGATAAGGAGTGTTATGAGATTTAACAATGTGATAAATGGGGGAAGAAGATACACTTTAACTTCACGAGGAGTCGGTTTAACTTTGGGCATCCATATATATATATAGTCTAAAAATAAATGAGACTGATCTTTTCAACTTTGCCTTAATTAAACCAGAAAATTATCCATAAGTTGGGAGACAAGGAGTTGGCAAGTTCAGATAAGTAAGAGATGTTGCGAACAATTAAAATGTTTTGGGATAGACACTGAATAATGGAAAATCATAGTAGTGTATTGGGTAAAAAAAATCTTAGCTTACACTTATTATCAAGTTCATAATTCTTGTAGGAATCTGACTATTATTAAATTTAATCTGACTAATATTATTAATAATAATCTGACTATTATAACATTTAGGAGCTCATGGAAAATATATTTCTACTTAATATTAATTATATATTGATGGTAATGATTACCTTTATTTCCTGGTTGAAACTAGTAACAGGCATATTAGTGAGGATTCCATGTTTATTGACATACTAGAAAGAAATTAATTATAAGTGAAGGACTCTATACTATTAAAAAGATATAAATTTAATAAATTAATTTATGAACTTTGAAATGCATTCATACATTATTTATATCAATATAAATATCAAAAAAAGTAATAAATTTTCAGAATACAACTATATTTTAAATCAGAGTATACACAGTATGGTGCCCTTTCAATCATTTTCAGATTCAGAGTTTATCATTCAGGGGATAAAAAATAAGCCCATGGAGTCTTGAAAGTCTATTATTAATTTTCACCCTCTGTTTGTAATTATATTGCTAATTTTTATAATAATATATATCTAATATTTATTATAATATATCTAAAAAATGTTAATTTAATCTGTCAAAAAATGGTTTGGAAAACCTGTATTTATGGAATAATTTTTAGTTAATTTGTCATTAAATTCTGGGCCAAAGTAAGGTATTTACTTACTATGATGATGCATGATTTTAACAATTCCAAAATAAAATAATTTTGGATAGTAAAATAAAATAAAGTAATGATAATTGAAAATTAATAAACAAATGAGAATTCTCTATTCAAGGTCCACCAATTGTCTATTCTTATTTACCAATTCAAATGTGTTGAGTTTGGAGGTGAATCTTCCACCTGCTTATTTGTCTATTTAACAAAGCATATATTATAAATGAAGTTTCCTACATAAATATGTACTTATATATCATTACTTTAAAAAATAAAAACAATTAATTATCATTAGATAATTGTTACTTTTTGAGTTTGTCAGCTTCTTTTGTAAAGTATATATATTAGAGATAATAATGGAGTAATATTGAACACTGTTGAGAGCAGACTTTTAGTTCTAAATGTTCAAAATCATAAGAAATAGAAATCAGCTGTCAGGAAGGGGAACCTTATGATTTTAAATCACAGCAACCCTAGGCACCCCTCATGGCCTCAGTTCAGTGCTTGGTTACCAAATACTGCCATTAGGTATAACCAAACATTTTGAGAGTATTATTAATCATTATTACTCAGTTTCGGATGAGAAATACAAAGGAGCGTTTTCATTGTGTAAAATGGAGATGGGAGGAATAGTAAGAACTGTGAAGAATGGGAAAATCTATCTGCTTCTTTAAGTTAGTATTAATTTTTTTTTAAGTAATAAAAAACAAAGTAATCATAATTGAAAATTAATAAAGTTAATTAAAGATTCTTTAAGTTAATATTAATTTTTTATTTATTTTGATTAACTACTAACATTTGTAATTCCTTTATAAACAAACCAAATAAATGAACTGAATTATTTTTAATATAATTTCTCTTATTTCCTTACATAAGATGTTGAACACAATGAAATTATGTTTGATATAACACCATTCAATAACACCATGGGGCCCAATAACAAATATATATAAACTTTTGAAAATATTTGATTTGCAAATAGATGAGCTCACATAACAGGTGTTAATTTGTATATCGTTAAAATATTAATCTAAATTCTGACAACAAATTATGCTTGACTTTTTAAAAAAATTAATTAAGGGGAAATACTGGCAGTTGAGCATGATCTCGGCCCAATCACCTCTCTGGACAACCATTGGCCTTGTAACAGTACTTACTCATATTGTACTGAACCCCAAGACCCTTGATGGGTTGTTAGTGGTGCTGTTTTAACATTCTACAAAGTTTAGACTAATTTGTAAATTTTTAACCTAAAATGGAGTATAACAAAAACATATGTTAATATTAAACTTGTATGTTGATTTGATTTCTAATGACAATAAATCATCATTTATTAACTTGTTGTACAGCTTTTTAAAGAATGTAATTCATTTAAACTTCTTTTTCTTAGTATTATTATTATTATATTAAGTGAATATTTTTGGCAAATCCTCTGATCCCCATCCTGTGTGGTAGATTGAAAAGTTGTTCACTGTTCCATTCCATCACACATCTTTCAGATTAAGCATTGTATGTTTCAGATTAAATTTCTTTTAAATATAATTTCTCTCATTTCCTTACATAAAGTAATAATGAAATGATGTTTGATATAAAACCACTCAATGGGGCAAATAACAAACACCTATAAACTTTTGAAAATATTTCATTTGCAAATAGATGAGCTCACATATAACAAGTGTTAATTTGTATATGATTAAGACATTACTCTAAACACTAACAACAAATTGTGCTAGACTTTTTTAAAATAATTAATTAAGGGGGAAAACTGGTGGTTCAGAATGTTCTCGGCCCAATCACCACCCCGTACAACTGTTGGCCTTGTAACATTAACAAAATAAAATATTCCAATATATATACATATATATATATATATATATATATATATATATATATATATATATATATATATATATATATATATATATATATATTGGAATATACACCTTAATTGAAAGTTGAGAGAGGACCACCCAGGGAGCTTGAGCCGAGTAGAAGAAAGTGTTACCATTTTGGAAGATGTGTTTGGCATAACATAAGAAAATGTTAGAAGACAAATGAATTTAGTGCAACAAAGGAAGAAACAGTATATATAGAAAAAAGGTTAGCTTGCCAATCCATAATTGACTTTATTTTAAAATCAAAAAGTATTTAGTATAGTTAATTTTAGTTTGTTTGAGTGTTTTGATCTGATTGTCAGTAACCCACACCTGAGATAAATAAATATATTAATGCTCTTATAATTTTGTTTGTTATTTAATAACCTCTTATTTATTTAAGAAGCATCCCAACAGTATAATGTGATCTTCTACGAGGTTATATTATCATCTGTAAAATATAAGAGAGATGTTACTATATATATATATATATATATATATATATATATATATATATATATATATATAAAATTCCAAGGTGATTGGTCCGAGATCATGCTCAACCACCAGTTTTCCCCCTTAATTAATTATTTAATTTAAAAAAAGTCTAGCATAATTTGTTGTTAGAATTTATAGTAATATTTTAATCATATACAAATTAACACTTGTTATATGTGAGTTCATCAATTTGCAGATCAAATATTTTCAAAACTTTATAGGTGTTGTTATAGGCCCTATTGAGTAGTGTTTATATATATATATATATATATATATATATATATATATATATATATATATATATATATATATATATATACAAATTAATTATTAATCAAATAACACAATCAAAATAACTGTTAAAAATTTAAATCTAGCCTTATATATATATATAAAACTGATTAATTACTTTAGTAGGTTGTTCAATTAATGATATGTCAAATGGGCGTAAATATTTCAAAATAAAACCTTTAACCACTATCCATTTAAGATTTGTTTCAGCTGACTCAAAAATCATACGGTGTTTAAGTAATCTGAAAAAAAAATGATAAATAGGTAGTCAAATTCAAAACTCAGGTAAGGAATAAAATATTTGTAGCACATCTTGTGAGAAATAAACTTTACTAATTATGAACAATAAAGTTATTACTGTCATAAGTTAATAAATACAGAATTGGCTCAAAGTAACCATTCAAAGCTATTATTCTATAAGTAAATATATTTTAGAAACTAAGCCTACCTGTTCAACCATTCATTAGCTGTAAATAAATCTTTAAAACCACGAAAATTGTTATGACAAAGAGGATCTTGAATTACTAATTCGTTTTTAGTAAACTTTTTTACAATCAAAAATCCAAATCCTGTAGTTAAGCATACCAAGCCATATTGAAAAAATGGTTTATTTTTTTCCTTTACTATATCACTTTTCTGAAAATTAAAAATTAATAATGAGATGTGCACATATATTTTGTATTTAGTGTTTTTTTTTTTGTTTTTTTACCTAGGAACTACACAAAGAAAACAAATGAAGGTATATATCTGAGGCTTGGGATGACCGAGCAGGCTAACGTGCTTGCAATATGTAATCAAAGTTAAGCAACATCGAGCATGGTTAGTACTTGGATGTGTGACCACCCTGATCTGGGTGACCGTCAACCAGGGAAAGCCATGCTGCCTGGGACTCTCTCCCTCTCCCCAGGTATGTAAGGCCCTACAGCCTACTGGAGGCAACTCAGGCTGACCAAGCATAGGACTGATGACCCTATGTGGTTTACCAGGATGTTAGTAGTCCCCCTGAGGTTTGGTCCACGGACGTTCTGTTTCGGGGAAAGAAATATAGGTCCTCGTGCGCCTGCTGACTCTGAGCAGCCATAATCCATGGATCTAGACTGATTTTTCACTGTCTTTGAACCCGAATGAGTTGGTGTCAAGGACACTGCCAGAGTAGTCCCAAAGGAATCGGCTATGTAGCTACTGGTGGCTTGCCGCTGCACCATGGATACCATGGTTCGAAGCAACATTAGGTTGGATGATGCCCTCCAGGCTATCTGTGCTCGCGCAAGCAATATACATCTGTAAGGGGACCACATCTTGTGGGCAAAGATCTTCATAATCTGTAGTGACAACAGAAAAAAAAAAAAAAAAAAGATTAGGTTATGAACTACACTTCAATAAACTGAAACACCTCTTTTTTATTCTTTTTATTCAAAAACGTTTTGATCTCTGTTTATTTTTTTAAAATGAATAATGGGATTATTTTATTTTTAATCAAGAAACAAGTTACATACTTTACAGAAATGAAGGACATTAAAAGAAAATACTAACAACTTTGTTACAGATTAAATATGAGGAATTAAACTGAAGAAATAAGCTACTTCAAAGAATTCTATTTTCAGCTAAATCTCTTTGTAAAGTATCCTTAAGGGTCCAGGAATTACAAAAAAAAGTTAGCAAAATTTACATACCAATAAATATAAGAAATTAACATTTATACCTTAAATAGTCAATTTGATCTTAGATAGTGAATTTGTCAATTAAAACTTCTATAAAGTTTTTATTTTCACAATATAGCTTTTGTGTGTTGAAATTTAGGGGAATATCATTTTGATTGATTCTTTCAGTTGATTGAACTAATTCACAAGTTGATTGTTACTTTAATAATAAAAGGTCGCTTGCTCACTGCAAAAGGTTTCCCTTTAGTTGTTTACAGTTAAAATAATGAACTTCAGCTAAAACTGGAACATAAAAATGAAACCTGAAATATCTATGCAGTGCTGGCATTTGATGCCCTCAAGTTTTAAATCAATTTCTTAAGCTAATCTCTTTTTGTTTATATTTAAATTGTATTCCATTCAATTTGTCTCAAATTCAGTTGTTTTATTAATAGACTAAACTAATTTTTTAGTACACTTTGTAATTTTTTTATAATTCTCTCCCAAGTGGTGGGCGCCTCAAGTCATCCTGCCCTAGGACTGGTACATGATCTACATAGTTAAGCCATGAGTAACCAGGATCAATATCTTGTTGTTTTTTTTCTACTGCCGAAATTATATTTATATTTAAGGTCATTCCACCATCCGATATCTTGCTGTCCAGTATACATTAGATTTTTTCAAGTATGCATTCAAATTAAGGATCAATATGTGAGGAAAGATAAAAACATTAAAAGGATAGTCAAAGCAGCTGAAACAAGATTTTCAGAGGAATTCAAAAGGGAAATGTGTACAAATAAATTCAAACAAAAGGAATAAAACGTTATGAAACATAATAGTAAGGATTTTGTTGACAGTAGATACAATTTTAAGACGAAGTTAGTCAGGGGAGTGGCCAAAGAAGATGAAACACACTAAAAAGTGAGACTTACATTTATTATGTGCCTATGATTTGACATATATTCTTTATAAGTCTTCATCAGGGATAAAAAGAACAAAATACAAATATGTTAAAGCAGTACAAGATGAAAAAAAAAACTGTACTAATTTATTATTATATTTTTTTTAATCACATACTAATTTAACATTATTTTTTTATCTAGTTATTTTTAGCCTCAATGAAAAACTACAAGTAAGTTGAAACGTAGGAACATAATAAATATATGTCCCACTTGTAAGAGTGTTTAGACTTCTTTAGCCAGACCTCTCCCCCCAACTAACTTCTTAAATTATGGAACATAGTTTAGGTTGTAGAATGAAGAAGTCAGTGTTAATTATTTACGTCATTTAAAAAAAATAGATCAATTCTGCTTATAGATTAAGAAAATATATGAAGAGTAAATACAGTGAGATAAACATCATATACAAAAGAATTATACTTACATTGAAATGTTCACCTAATCTGTTTTCATCAATTCTTCCTGAACCAGAATTGGCAGAAATGGTTTTCATCTCCTGAAGATGAGTCAATCCATCTCCATATGATCTCTTAATTGCCTGGAGTTTTTTTTTTTCCAAAGACATTCCTTTTTTGATTATTATATGAGAGGTCTCATCACTACTTTCTTTAAAAGATATTTTTTTTTCTTCATTGCTAATGTCTTCTTTACTGAGGTTTATAGATATTTCACCAGTGATACTTTCATTGTTTTTATTCATTTTAACAGCAAAGGAAGGCTTAAGTTCTTTTACATTTTGTTTATTAGAAATTAAAAGATTATTGGAATTTACTTTTATAAAACTATTGGTACTTGAAAGAACAAAATTAATGATTTCACCAATTCTTTTGAATCTATAAATAGGGTCACTATTTCTCAATTTATAATTAAATAAAGAACCAATTGTTCGAGAAGAATGAATATTAGGATTAAAAACATGGCAATTTGGAAAATTATTATTAATTGTAATTTTCGACATATCTTTAACAGATAGATATGACATTTGACTTGATAGTTTCCATATTAATTTGCTATATTTTAAGAAAATTATTTTGCCAGTGCAACTACAACCAAATCGAGAATGGGTACAACACCAAATAAAAACATCAGCTAAACTGAATGGATTTAGTTTGTTCACTATATTAAAAAGACGAACAATTTTATCAGAATCTTTCTTTAAAAGTTTTTCTGATTTTTTCTTTTTTTTATATGGCTTTTGTAACTGAAAAGATGTATTTTCAAGGTGATAATTTACTTGCAAATATGAATTTTCAATAGTTTCTTCCTCTAACACATTTTGATGTATTAAATCTTCAGATAGGTGTTTCAAATATAAGTTATTAGGAATATTTAATGAATCATCATTTGCATCATTGTCAGTATCACCAATAAAGCTGTCCATGCAATTTTCAATATGATCTTCATCAACTGAAGATCCTTCTAACTTGACTTCAAGAAACCTAGTTATCTCTAGACATATATTGGTAGATGAAACATCTTTTTCTGTGGAATAACTCATGTTTTCTTCCTGAATATTTTTCAAATTTGTATCAATAGATTTGGCAATAATATGATGATCCTCAACCAAAAGTTCTTTCTTAGCATTTAGAAAGCTGGTGTTTTTTGAACTCAAATTAACAGAAGCAACATCTCTGTTTGTACAGCTTATATTTCCTTTCCCGATGTTTTTTAAATCAAATTTTTTTTTTCTCCAGCCTTTAATTTTAGTAATATCATTTGTTTTACTAAGAATAATATTTTTTGAATTCACTCTATTTGATACTTTATTACTACACTCATTGTTTTGTTGAGACAATGTATAATTAGTCAAATCAGACTTATTAATAGTTTTGTTTGTACTGAAATCAGGATTATTTATATTCGAGTACGTTATGACATTATTATGTCCAAACATTTCAGAAACTTCTTTCTTTGAATTATTTTTAATTATATGCTTCCTTACATTTTGATCTTGAAATGGGTTATCAAGAGAAGCTTTGCTGGATTTCAAATTTTCCATCTTTTTATCTGTAATTGCAAGAATAGTTTTATTTTTCAGGACATTGAAGTAGTAAGTATGGCACATTTCAGAGATATTGTCAATCATATGTTCATCATCACATATATAAAGGAACTCATAAAGTATATGATTAAAAGATAATTTTTTATCTTTATGTTCATTTACAAACTTTAAAAAAAGATAGGAGTAAACAAGCAAGGAAATGTCTGAATACTCATGTATTCTTGTTTCTTTGTAGCTGTAATATTTATTGGAAGAAATTAACTTCATGTTTTTTTTAACTGATGGTAAATAATTTTTATAATTATATTTATTTTTAATTAAATCAAATAAATAACCTAATGGTCCATAAAATATTGTTGGTAAATCTTCATTTTTAAATTTGGAAATCGCCTTTTGGAATGATAAGATTTCCAACTTTTTATAAAGAAATAATTTTCTTATATAATGTCGACAATTATCATTAGAGACAATTGGTAGATGATATAAATAAAATAGCTTATTCCTTAACTTTTTTTCAAACTCAACCGTATATTTCATAATTTTCTGGTGTGAAGGTCTTGGGTAAACAACACACCTTTGCTGAATATATAGCCTTAATTCAAATATTCTCTTTAAGCAACAAATAATAAATACCTTTTGATCAAATGAGTAATTCACAGAATATAAATTACTAAAAAAATATAAGATATGCTGGTAATTTTCAATAATTGAACTACAATTACAGCAAAGTTTTGTGTTTTGTATTTTTTTTTTTTTTAAATAAGATATACATTTAGCACATAATTTAGATGTTAAAAAGTTAATAATTTTATTGTAAATAATAAAAGGTTTGATGTAAGAACAAGTGGCATCATTGCAAAGTTTAGAATTGTGACTGATCTTGGAGGTTCCATGAATATAACTACCACTCCTAATAATATTGCTAGCATCGCTATAATCCATACTCAAAACATAAGCCTTCAATTGCTCTATTGGATTATTACTTCATTTTTAATAAGTATGGTAATACTATTTAAAGATAAACCAACTAAATAACTACATTTTATCAAACTAGTATGATAACTTCATCTGAAAAAAAATAAAAAATAAATAAGTATTTTTATAAAAAATCAAATAGATACAAAGTAAAAGTTGAAATAATCTAAAAGATTTTTAGTTTTAGAAATTAAAAACAATAGAAATAATGGTACTAATACTTTAAGAAATAACATTGAAAACTTTAAATAATAATAGTGTATAGAATTACTGTAAATTATGTTTATTAAGTAAATGTTGATGGGTATATATTTAAACAAAATATATTTTGAAAATGGAAGCAATTTTGTTTTGTGTAGAAGAACAATGTTACTTCTACACAGTGATCAAACATTTTGTATCCAAAAAACTGTCTAAATAGAAGTCAAATAAAGGACAAATTCAAATGAAGAATTCCACAAATGTAACTTTTACCAAAATAGATTTCATTATTATTAAACAAGTTCATGATTCTCTTTAATGAAACTTAAAGTATTATCGGAAAAAGATCATGACCTCAAAACATACATTACAAAAACTCCCTTTCTGGCAGGTAAACAGAAGGCAAAAACTAAAGCATTAATGGTTCAATATATAGTGAGTTGGCATAAGTTTCTGTCACCTGGGGCAGATCGTAAATATTTTATGAAAATCTTTTCCCCCTTCCCCTAAGTTATTGTTATATTGTAGTTCTGAAGATGACTCAAATAGTTTCATCATTGGCTATGCTTAATAAATGAAATACAAAAATATTATTTTGTTTTGAAGATTGATTCCAGACAGATTTTCAACAAATGAATAACCATTATTTGAAACTAACAGTCAGGCAGGCAACGTCTACTTTCAAGTATTGAAAAATGTGTATATATATGAGTTTATTAAAAACCTATCTCTCCTAAATAAAAATTAAAAACAGGAAATCTATACTGTGTGAATTAATAAAGCTTTAGACAGCTTCAGACAATTGACTTAATTTATATCGATTCTGTTCACAAATGATGTTATAAAATTATACTAAATGGTTGGAGGTGGGTTAAGAATAAACCATGCAATAAAATAATCGACTTATTTAATGTGTGTGGAGGTTGCAACTTAAGTTGTAGGCTTTCATCATTTGTTGCTTTGTATCATCTAGTCAAAATGTTTTCTCATTTTTTAAAATTTACTTTTTTTTCCCTTTCTATCGCTGATCTACTACATCCCTATTTCTTTTTTACTTTCACTATATCTTTATATTTTTTAACTCTTTTTTTTTTTTTAACCATTTCATCTAATGAACATCAATACATTCCCATTCCACTTTATTCTTTTTGTTTGAATAAGTTCTATATTTTAATGCATATATTTTTTTGTATTATATAGCATTTTTTCATATTGAATTTTTTTTATTTATTCATTTCTCACATTTGCGGCAATAAAATAAAAATAAAATAAAATACAAGCCAACTCTCTTTTTAATTAACAGTTTTGATTCTATATTATCATTAGAAAAAATAAATTCTTTCACAAATAATTTAGTTATATGTTATTCAACTATTTTAGAAAGAAATTAGTTTACTTCATGATAATTTAAAACCAAAATTAATAATTTCTTAGCTATAATTAGAATAGGTATAACTCGCAAACATATGAGGAGTGCCTGAAATCCACATGATTGTCCTGAAAGCCTCTAATGACTTTTGCGTAATCATTTTCATTAGTGCATCCGAGAAGTAGTCTGAGGTGGTTTATTAAAGTACCTTCCCATCTGAATCTCAGTGTCTTCCCTGATGTCTCAGTGTTTCCCAGTCCCAGGTTAAAATCAAGAAATTCTAGCACATTTCCTTCTCTTAACCTCATATGTGTACAAAATTAGTCAGTCATTACTCCAAACATTCTAAGGAAAAAAATATTATTTATTTTATATTCTTAAGGTGCACTAGCTTTGGAAGAAAATTCATTTCAACCATAGCTTTGTATATTTTTGATCAATTGATGGCGTTATAGGCTTGTTTAAAATCAAGAAATATGCTGTGTGTAGGCAGTCTGCCCTCATTTTTTTTAAAAGTAGGTGGAGGGTGAATATCTGATGGAAAGTCGATCAACCCCTGTGAAAGCCACACTGGTACTTTCCTATTTCGCTTTCAGCATTTGTAATCTTCAATATAGAGAATTATAGAGAGAACTTTACAAGCACATGATAAAAGGAAGATTTCATGATAGTTGTCAGCAGGGCAGGGGAGCCCAGAAGTGAGTAGGTTCTGTGGGGCAAGTTGTGACATTAAAATTTTTGAGGGGAGCACATTTTGGCAAGGTTATGAATTTTTGGTGTGAAAGGTTTCAAACCAGAAGAAAAAATCGTAGCAAGTTTAATAACATCCACTACACACAATACAAGCAAGTGTAGTAACACAGCAAGTGTTTATGATGCATGATTTTTTAATTTTACTTTTGCTTTCAGAGTTTTTATAAGAAGAGGTGTAAAATATCATGAGAGGGAAAGGCTCATGCGCAATTGACCTTGGGGGAGGGAAGGATGGACACTCCTGCATTAAGATATCATCCTTTTTATTTATTGGACATATGACCATCTTTTTCCACTTCTGTGGGAGTTTCTCTTCTGTCCATCTCTCTTCTGAAGAGGATCTTGGAGGAACAAAACAAGCTCCTGGCCTCCTTGCTTTAGTAGCCCTACTGGAATCTCATCCATCCCAGGAGACCTCTTGTTCATAAGCTAACGTAGTGCTTCTTCAATCTCTTCCTCGTTCGGGTACTGTTAATTAAACTTTGAAAATGGAGTTGGCTGGTTTTGAAATTCTACATTTCATTTCATGTATACATATTTTTCATATCTAATACTATTCATATTTTTATATTTGCTATTTTATTACTTCACATTACTATATGTACCACTCTTTTATCCTTATATTTTCTATTATTATTTCTTGACCCTGATATAAGGGTTACAGCTTGCACCGAAACATAAACAAAGATCGAAGGAGTATATTATTTTACCATATGCTTCTTTCCTGGCCTTAACTCCAACTATCTTCTCCTTGATTTCATCTAGAGTGAACTATATCTCTACCATTACAAAATTACAATTAATTTAAAACTAACAATAATTAATAGCCAAGTTTACTTACAGAAGATGAAAGGATAAAGTTTAGCTCAAAAAGCAACATGTGATTCAAGACAATGTGGAATGCCAAGAAAAAATTTCCAATCTGAAAAATAAGACAAGATAGGAAATGAATCTTCTGCACTTAATAAAAAATGAAGGATACGGCTTTGGGCGGCCGTCCACCAGGGAAAGCCACGTTCCCCGAGACCCCTCCCCCGGGTATGTGAGGCCCGTCATACAACTGGAGGCAACTCACACCGACCGGGAGTATGACTGATGACCCTACCCCCGTGTACTTAAATCAGGAATCGGGATGTGGCCAAGGAGACCACATCTCGCGGTCAAAGATCTGCACGGTCTGTAGCGTCAACCGAAAAAAAAATTATACGACCTTTGAGTATTATATTTTAACATAATTATTTAAATTGGGAATTAGGTCAATTAATTATTATTCCATAAACTACAAAATGTTCATTGATCCTGCTGTTTATTCGACGTTTCGATCCCGTTTTTTTAAAGTTAACAATGGGACCCTCTTCTGTTAGAATAAACAATAGCTCAATCGGTACACAATTATCCTTCCATATGTTTCAAATAACAATTATTTCAAAATTCAACATAATTTTAAAATAGAGCCTCGATACCTCACGCCAGTGACACACCGACAGCCTCAGCACCGTCCACTAGCACAGATATTAAGAAACTCTGCTGCTAAGCGTCTGGCCATCCTGGTCCTGAGGCAGAAGGCAAAATATTACATCCAAAACAATGAAAAATGCATCTATGTTAAATAAAGGAATTGAAAAATGCAACCATGATAAATATAACAGCATCAAGAACATATCTATGCCAACAACTAAAATAGCTTGTATAACAGCATTGACAGTATAACAGTCCTGAACGTTCTGGACATCTCTCCATTACGCCAAGAAACTTTGGCGACAGCACACTCGAACACGTTGGAGTGGATAAATGTTAGGATGGCGACTTCCCAGGACCTGAGGAAAACCGGATGGAAGTGGAGAAAATTGGGTGGAGTAGGGTAACCTATAAACGTCCCAGACACACGCCACAAACAACTTGGAAGAAGAAAGAGCCTGTGTTCAGCGGTAGAGGAAGAACGGGAGTAGAGCGAAGACCATGACAAATCACACCGAAGACCAATATGAGAAGAGAGGACAGAAAATGTCACGGATGCGTGAAAACGGTCACTTAGTGGCACAGTGTCCCCGTAAAAGATGCTTCGAGTGCGGAACGGAGGGCCACGTTGCGAGGCAATGCCTCTACATGTACTCAAGAAGGAAAGCACCCCGGGCGAAACCAATGGAGATAAACGCCCAAAAGATTCGAAGAAGGGAAATTTCACCAAGGAGGAGCAGATAGTCGAGGGAACCTTTAGAGGAATGACCTCGGAGATTGA